AAAGCATTTTGTACATATTTTATACTATGCTGTGCCTTTCTTGTATATACGGCAGAGAATTGAACTATTCAAATTAATGTATTATGGACAAGCATCTACAAATATATTTTGATTTTTTAACAAAAAAAATTAAATAAATTTAAGGTTGGATTCCTTAAACAGAAAAAAATTATAATAGAAATATTTTTTATATTTAATAGAAAAACTGCAATAATAATAATTACTACTTCTCTATACATTGGGCTATTGTTAAAATTACATTATTTATAACTCTCCTAACATTTTATTATTTTTTTTATTTTTCAATTCTATTTTGTAAATAATCGATAAATCGAAACATTTTAATTGTATTAATCGAAAAAAAAAAAAAACAAAACGAATCGAAAGCCGGAGGTTAATCACTTTATGTACCCTCTTAATTTAAATAGCCTAAAAAATAATAAAAAAATTTATTATATATTGCATATTTTGTACCACATATGTACATACATATGTATACGTGTATGTATAGACTTAAATTTTATTTTAGAAAATCACTGAATTTAATTGTAGTGTTATTGATGAGTAAAAAACATTTTTGTTTTGTTTTTTTTTACAATGTGTACACACTTTACTTTTTGGCATTTTTAGAGTCAAAAAATTGAAAGCGCCGAGGTATTGCTGCTGCTCACTTAATGTTCATGTTTAAAATTAGCATAATAATGAAAAAAAAAAAAACCATTTTGTTTTTATTATTAATTTTTTTATTCAAAATTATTTTCAAAGTGATTACGAATTTTATTTTAAAAAGTGAATTTATTCGTGCGGCAACAAACAATTAAATAAAAAACGAAAAGAAACAAAAATTAATGGTTTCACTTTCGATTAAGATTTTCTTGAAAAATCTTCAAAGGTGGAATTTTTATGAAATCGGCATCATTGTTGACTCTTCGAAAAAATGATTGAATCCGAAATTTATTGAATTCTGTTAATTTTTTATTCATTTTTATTATTATATTACTTTTTTTCATATATTTAATAAAACAGTCAAATAAAATAAAAAATAAGAGTGAATTTAAAAATAAAAAATCGAAAATTAAATCAATCAATCAATGAAAATCGAAAATTTTTTTGTTGTGTTTCACAAAGACGAATTTTGAATGACCATTGAATATTTTCGATTTCTTTAATTTAAAAATGTTGTTTTTATTAGAAAAATCACAAAAAAAATGAATTCGTTCAGTTGAAATTCAATATTAAAATGTATATAGTCGTATATACAAATAAAATACAAAATATGTAGTCTTCCGCGTAATTTTACAATGATGATTTTCACGCACAAATGAAGGTGCAACAATAAAATTTTTTTGATTATTAAAATTATCGTAAAAAGTTGTGTTTTGCTTATAATGGAGCAATAATTATGATACAGTTTGTTTTTTCATTATTACATTATTATACATAAGCATTATAAAATTTACATATGTACATATTATATATATATAACATTATATTTTGATTTGGTACACAAGATTTTAATCGTGATTTATTGAATTTCATTTATTTTTTTGTTTTATTTTAATATTCCAATTTTTGTATGTTGGTTGTTTCATTTGAATATTTTAATATTATTTAAATAAATAATATTATTTATTTTAAAATCAAATTTTATACTCTATTAATTTATATACACATACATACATATATACGAATAAATAAATTTATTCAGTGTTGACGCAATGTTAAAATAATTGTAATTTTAATATTGTTAAAGAAATGCAAAATAGAAAATTGAAATTATTGAATCTAATAACACAAATTTAATATTGCAGTCACCTACTTATTGAAGGATATTCTAAATAATTGGAAAAAAGATAATGAAGACTATACACTAAGATAATTGGATTGGAGAAAAAATTAAGTGAATTAATCTGGAAATTTTGGTTCTTTTAACTTGTGAAATTTTATTTTTCAAAACTTACATCAAATTATGAGTCAGTGATTCTTTAAAAGGAAAGGAGCTATTTAACACACTCCTGGGTTTGCCGAAAATTGTTTGACTCAACTTGAATTAATACACCCAAATTCCAAATTTGATCAAATTTCGATGTTGTTCCTGAATTATTCTTTCCTTGTTGTTATTAGTTTAGGATATGTGTAAAATATTATTGAAATTTTTATGGAATGCAGCTTTTCTAAAATATTAACCACAATTTAACAACCAATTTTGAATCTAAAATACTTTAGATTTTCAAAATTCAATTCAATTAGCTAGAATATTTTTATGATTAAGAGCAATTCATTCTATTCATAACTTTGACCACATGTTCTTTGATTTATTACAATGGCGTTCTAGCTTATACAACACTTGAATCTGTAGTTTTTTTTAAAACAAATTAAAATTTCATGCCTTCAAGTATTAAAAATAATTCACCTAGATTTCATCTAGACTACATTGGATTAAATCATACAACAAGGCTAAGTAACAAAAATTTCAATTTCATCTATTTTTTGTTTCATTATTTACAATAACGCTGTAAGTAAACAAAATTTGTAAATAAAAAAATATAGAAAAAAGAACGTTTTATAAGAAAGTTGAGTAACTTCTCTTATAATAATTATAGTGCAGTCAAATGGTTGTTGTGATAAAGACGACGACGACGCGTCATGTTATTTTAAAGAATAATTTTTTTAAAATTTCGAATATTTTTACATAATTATGTATAATATACGTTACTTAAATACTTGAGTAAGTTTTTATGAACTTAAAAGCATTTAGCTACATAACTAATAGTATCAAATGTCGATTTTAAAAAAAAATATTCCACGCGACAGTGAGTTAGTTCGGCTATTTATAAAAATTATTTACACGACTTTGAATTTCATATCGAGTTTAAATAAACATTGAAAATAATTGTACTATAAAAAATGAGCATCATACACATATATAGTTTTTACTATCTATAAATTCTCTATCTACATTCTCTATATACACATAAAGTAGAAATATGCGTGTTTTTATTTTTTTAGAGGGCGGATAACTTTTGAATGATCTTTACAACAAAAATATAAAATGTAAGTTTTTCACCATGCCATCTGTGAATGAACTTAGATAAATCTGTTTTGTTGTTGTTTTCTAACCAGACATAAATAGTAGTCCATTGCTTTTTATTGTTGATACTTTGTTGCATGCGATACAACAATGTAATAGTTTGGTTACACAAAGTTATATTAGTCTCTGATGCTTTGGATTAAAGTAAACGGCCACAAAATATTATAGAATAGCCTTAAGCATTATTAGTATAGATTTTAAGGCAATGAAGGGTTGTTTAACTTGTTTAAAGTAAATTCTCTTATATTTTTTTTTGTTGTTTTTTATGTTTCATTTATTGTTATGTTTAAAGCGATTAAATTTCATTTGAATCGGATCGACTGAGTATTCTTTTGGTCTATGAACAGAAAAAAAAACAATAACATTTTATAACTCTTACATGGTAAAAGTTAATAAAAAATTTTCTAATATGTACGAGCTGTAGATATAAATAAAGGAGAGTAAAAGAATCTTTTCGTTTGTTTATGCCCACGCAATTACAAACTCTTTGTTTTTTTTTATATAGAATTTATGGAAAAGATGGTAACTAACTCGAATGTTTAGGAATATGTACAAATACTGCTATTGTATTTAATAATATAGAAGAAATTTTATAAAAGAAAAGTTAAAGATTGTTTAAAAAATAATTATTTGTTTGAATGTGAGTGCAGAGTGTGGCGGACCGATTATTGAAATTTTGTAAAAGGTATTGTACGCAACAAAGAAAAAAGAAAAAGGGAACAAAACCAAATTGTATAAATATTCCGCGGCCAATTTTTTAGTTTTGTTTGGATCATTGGATTATAATTTTAACAAAATATTTAAAAGATCGCGAGAATCTTTTTGAGAAGAGAAATTACATTTACAAAAGTTCTTTAACAATATATTTGAGAAGTGAAGATCATAAATTTTATTAACTATAACCACATTTACAATTAAAAAGTAAATATTGAATTTATTTTCTATTCTATTGTTAAATAATTTATAAAAGTTTTGAAATATTGTTGAAAAATTCTTTTATATTAATAATTTAGTATAAAATTTAGTGTGTAGGTAGGTTAGTCAATATACCGAAAAATTGCGTTAATACTATGGGATTATGTGGATTAGAAAAAAAAAACAAATATGTATGTAGTTAGGAAAGAAAGTTAAATTTCAAATAAAAAGAAGCTTTATAAAAATTTTTGATGATAAAATCAATAAAATTTTCAATAGATTGAAAAAAGTTGAGCCTTTTGTTCAAAAATAGTTAAAGAAAATTGTTTTAGCGATTCAATCAACTTTATTTGTCACAGAGTTTGTATAGGAAAAACAAAAAAATAAATGAAGCAAATTGATTTCTTTTACTTCGAAATTGTCTTTTTAAACTCATGGGTTCATTGATTGAAGATAATAAGTAATGGAAATTAAGTCTTAGTCTGGATTACAGAAATTGCTTTCACATAACAGATAAATATGTACATATGTATATGTATAAACGAGTATCCAAGAAGATTTCTGAGCATTATATAGTATGCCTTACAATGGTTGGCTCAGTGTGGGTTGCATTAGTTGCTTCATGTCTTTTCTGCTTGCTAAAAAGATTTTTTTATTAATATTAAGAAAAATTTAATCGAAAATGAAAATTCGTTTATTTTTCTAAAGAAAGGGTCGAAAAATAAAATATTTTGAAATAGCATAATCATTATGTGCGCAAGGGTAAAGGCAGAACCAAAGCTGAGAACGAAAACGGCGGACGATATCCGTTGTTAAAAACGAACGACAGACCACACAAATGGAAACAAGCGATGTCAAAAAAAAATTGGAATAGGGTTTTGTACTATTTTACCGGCGTCGATTAATACACCTTTATAAAATTTTTCATATTTAATCAATATTTCACTTGAAGGTATTCAAATATCTAATTTGTTATTTTGTTTTCTATTTTTAGTTACACTCATTATGTAAAGGACTATGGATACGGGAAGTGTTCTTAGCGAACCAGTTCATTATCCTCATTTACGAGGATTTCCAAAAGAGAGATCAACATCAATGGTATGCTGAATTAAATTCTATTGATTTAAGTACTTAATTAGCAACAAAATAGATATTTTAAAACGATCGAGAATTAATGCATAAATGGAAAAAAATTAAGTTATTGAATTTAAACAGAAATTTTATAAACTAAACCGGAAAAAAACCGGTATTTTAAATGAAAATGTTAATAATTAATTCTAATTTCATTACGATCTTATTGTCTTACAGCAGTGACTTCATCTATGACTTACGAATTCTTATTGGAATATAGAAATTAAATCTTACAAACGCAATGAAACACAAAATTTTTGTAAGAATTTCTAAGGAACTATTTAAAGTTCCCCTTGTTTTCTCTGTAATTATAGGCAATGAGCAGTTTCTCTTTTTATTAAAATTTAATTTATTTTACAAAGGGTGAGTTGGAATTCCAAGCGTCTTAAAACTTGCATAAAAAGTAACGTAGTGCATATGAATTTTAATATTTCATATTTTATGAGAGGGCAATAAACTCTTTTTCAGTATTTATAGAAAATAATTTTGTAGTTTTTCGTGTTCTAAGATCATTTTTTTTAAATGTAATTGTGTGAGACCAGTTTCTTAGTTACACTATAGAATCACATAATATGTATGTTTATAAGCATAAAAGAAATATTAAATTCGAAAAATTCCTCTTCCATATTTTAAAAACATGTCAATTCAAATTTTTCGTATTTCATAGCACATTTATACCGAAAACGCTCTTAAGGAATAAAAATTTGAAACCCAATTAAAAAAAATATATGTGTGTACATACTCATATTTGTAACATGTAGAAGAAAAAAAAAATTGTTTTTGTAAGGATACATTGGACTACTATGTAACACAATAAAAATGAAGGGTTATAAAAAATTAATATTCAGGATAATCTAATAAATGAAATGATATTTTATGTTCATGCTGATTACGAGTAAAGTTCAGATACATTTTATTCACATGATACGTAATTAATGAGTACCAATGGTCAATCAACTTTTAAAATTCAGAAATTCAACACATTCAATATTGTGGGAAAACCAAATAAAAATTTTATAATATTCAATTTGCCATCTTGAACAAAATTAAATTTGGTTTAATAATAAAATCAAAGTGCTCTTGATTAAAAGAAAAAATCTGCTGCGCTAGTGCATCTGCTGTGTCATTAATTTTTAATATTTTTTTTTTAAATTAAATGTAGTTAAACGTGTTAAAATGATGATGCTAAGTGGAATTGATACGAATCTTATGCAGCATTAATTTATATGCTTCGCCAGTTTTTAAAAATATTTTTAAAATATTTATAAATTCAATATTTTTTTAATTAATTTACTAAATGAAAAATGTTTAACTTTCTTCTTTCAGACTATATTATCACCAAAACCAAGGATGTCTCAATTAGAAAATCTCGAGGCCAAGGTAAGAACCTAAAAATATACCCTATAATTTTTTTAAAAGAGTGATAGTGCAATAAGCGCATTATTTCATATTTAAAACGATAACGTGATCCAATCCATAGTTTACTACAATCTTGTAGAAAGATGACAAATTCAATTCAAGTTTCACCATTCTTTGTTTGTTCATAAATTTGTTAAAAAAAAAAGAACCGCTTTTACCTAAAAACCTAAAAAATAAATAAATTTTATTAAATTTAATATGACATATTTTTAAGAATCTTATAAAGAAACTTGAGAGCATTGCAACATTTTGAAATGAAATTTAATTTTTAATACGCGCGCATAATAAAATTTCATTTTCAAAGGAGAATGAAGTTGTCGATTAAAATAATCAAGCCATCAATGAAAACCAGTTAAATGTTGTAGAAAAGAATAAATCGGTCAAATTACATTTACGATTTCACAAAGCATATCTGTGTAAAGTCATATAATTTTGAATATTATAAGGTATTTGAATATTATAAGGTGTTGTCTGTTGAAATTTTAAATCTGTTATGAGTAAGCACCTTCTTTCAACATTAATTTCTATATGTACTAGTCATTTTGTTTTAGAAATCACTGTACTTTGAAAATTTTACTTAACATATAAATATATGATTATAAAAAAATATATGAAAATAAATTAAAAAAATTAAAACAATTTTAATTAAGGAATGAAGTTTTAATTAAGTAATTGAGGAAGTGAGTATTAAAAAATTAGTGGTGAGAAGTGTCAATAATAAATTAGATTCATAAATGATTTATTTTATAAATTCCTTTTTGTAGAGAAAGCAAAATACTCTAGATGGGAGATATGCAAGGATCAGCTTAGATTTCAGTCAGTCGAGGAGTTTCTGGCTCAATAATCTTTTATTCTAACTTTGTCAACTCAGGGATCATGGAGCTTTGAACTAGTGGAAAAGAGAGTAATAATCCGCTTAAATGCACAATATATCCCCTTCTTGTGCCACGATACATTACTACCCTCTTTCACAGTCTATAATGTACATAATTATTTAATAAGCAATTGATTGACTTTCTTATTTATGAAAATAAAGAAATTATAAATAGAAAACGAAGTCCATAATACCATTTTTCAGTTTGAAAGAATATTGTAATAAATTTTACAGCAATATGTTATAATAATTTGATGGAAATTGTGTATAATAAAGAAGATTACTCTGAATTTTATGTAACAGGTTTAGTAAATGCAAAACATTGTTAAAACAAAACATGTTTAGTTGGAAATTGTATATATTTTTAGAATCTGAATTTCTGTTAAATTTTCTATTCAAATTTTTAACTTTATAAATGTTGCAGTTTCTCATTAATATGCTGTAATTTATTAGGAATTTAAATTATTTAATGGTAGCTATGGGCAAATGTTAGTTGAACTTAAAAATTTTGTATTTCTCTCGTATGCAATAAAATTAATGAATTATTTCTACAATTAAAAGTTTAAAATTCCATTTTTATCGAAAATAATTCTTATGTGGTTACTATTGTTTACTTTTAAATAGCTGTCATACTTCTACTTCACATTATTTCTATATCGTTTATAAACCATTAATGGTATTGGTTTTATAAATATTAAATAAAAATTTACATAACTAAGATTACACTAAACTTTGGATTTTGAAATTTCGGAAATGTCACACATTGTATCTTTTTCCCACAGAATTATTTAGAGAAACGCTTAAAGAAACAATATTTTCTATTTTATAGATACTTACAAAAAAGAGTCATTAAAGAAGTCTTTGGAAATTATTTTCACCTATAAAAATATTATTTGTGTGGTCAAATAACTCTCTATCTATATATTATAATAATAATAGTTAAATAATGGTTATGTGTATATGTATGTACAATTTTTTGTTAAATAAACACAAACTATCATTACATAGTCTTCAAAAGTAAATATTTTTAACTTCCTCTATATCAGCTTTATTACTTTAAATTTTAAAATAATTTCTTAAAGAAAAATGGAAAGAAAAGAAGTTTGCGTTTGAATATTTGAGTTTGAATTCAATAATTAGAAAATAAAACATTAAATGCGAAAAATAAGAAATACTGCGACTGTAATTTATAACAATCATCTTTAATATTAAAGAAAAAACAATAACTAAATTCACAATTATTAACATTCCGAATTTTAAGTTAATCATAAGTATTATATATATTTTCTCTGTGTGTGTACATATATACACATAGTTAATAGTATATAGTATATACAAATAGTAATAGTTAATACATACGTACACATAAGATAGTAAAGTTATTAAGCTATAGTTAATTTCATATTTTGATTTTTCTATTATATTTTAAGTTTACTGGCCACTTTTCGTGTATATTCGATGACGTATTAAAGTCAAACTTACATGTATTGTGTATTCAAGTAGCATGTACAAAAAATCTCCATCAATGGTGGCTGTAGTTATAACAACTTTTATCTCTATTTAATAGAGTAATAATTGCAATCAATCTATGTTTTATTTTATTATGTCATTGTTGTACAACCAGGTAATTAAAGACCAGAATAATATTTTATATATGTACATGAATTTTTAATCAAACAATGAACTCCTATCATAACAACTATGTTATATACATATATAGAAAATAAAACAAGATTAAATTAAAGTAGGAGTTATACAAACTGATCCTAAGACAATTTAGCAATAAAAAATATAAGAGTCTGCAGATAAGCTCTCGATGATCCATTTGCAAGTCGGAAGGCGGGGTTGTCCGTGTCTGCATGGAAGAGGACAAAATGATGAAACATTTATTGTGTGAATGTGAGGGAGTGGTTCACCCATGAATGAGATGGTTCGGGGTTGGCGTTGTGTCCCCGATGAAATCCTTTAATTTGAGGTGGTTGTTATACTGCAATTTGTGAGGGGTCTAGGTATAGATAGGAGAACGAATAAAGTTTCCATAAGCGTAGGTATTTAGACATTTTTTTAAAAATTATTTGACGTCTTATCGAAGAACTATACTTTTTGAAAAGTGTTAGGCGACTGTAATCATAGGCGATATGCCTTTTTTTGGGATATTCCAAAATTTTCATTTGAAACATTCTTGATTCAGGCAAACCAAACACTCAATCAGAGTTCTTCATTATCAAAAGTATTGATTGTTAAAAGTATGGGTTGTACTATCATCTTCTTTGGGAGAAAGTGAAGGTTACGTTCATAGAAAAAGCGAATCATTAAAGAACTATGATGCTGAGGCTGTAGGGCGTCGTCATCTGCGCCTTCATTCTTTTTTTGGCATTCATAATTTAATTAGACTATCTGTCCTACACTTACCAATTTAATCTTAATTGCACAACGTGTTTATTTTTGTAAAAGTATTTTACATTTTAAACAGATTTGAGATTAAGACGAATAAAATATGAACTTCATAATCACTTGATAAAATTTTAATAACAAAAGGTGGTGTTGGAAAGAAAAATTTAATTTTTGTTCCTGCGGTAAAAAAAGCAATTGTCAGATTTTAATATTACAGAAAAGAAACAACAAAATAAAGAAAAATAATAACGATTTCAGTGCAAGTCTGGTAAGACGTTGTAAAAAAATTAATGTTCGTTCTTTTCAATTTTAAAATTAAACTTGAATAAAGTTGGGTCAAACCAATGGTTTGTATTGTAGCACTTTTCCCTTCAACAAGTGAAAATTCTGCTTTTAAATACAGTCTATGTATACCTATCACACTATAAAAATTATTTTCATTCATATACAAAACTATTACTAGGATTGCATATATTTAGGATGACGCATATATGCAGTCTTTGAAATAAAGCAAAAATTAACATAAAAAGGGGTTAACATAATGCTCGATTTTAAGGGTTAATTGTGTGAGTTAAGAAAAATAATTATATTTTTTAGTGTCACGAAATTTACCGTTAGCTTTTTGCGTTTATAAAAATTTGGAAAAGCTTGCGGTTTCGGAAATATAGGGTGTCAAAAATTCAAATTTTACGATTTTCAAGAGGTGATAACTTGAGAGGGGGTGGAGATGGAAAAAAAATTTCTTCTAACAAAATGAACTATTTGTTAATGTCTAAAAGCCCCTAAAATTTCAAAGTTCTAGAATATAGGATCTAGAAGAAAAACGGCATCAAAAATTTGGAAAAAAAGGACTTTAGATAACGGTAAATTTCAACGGCCATTTTGTTTTTCTAAAGTTTAACTATAGTATACCGCGCTAGGGGAAGCAAGCCGCTGCCTTTCTGCGTTTGCAAAATTTCAAAAATACTTATGGTTTCATTGCAACAAATATTTAAAAAAGGCCATTTTTAGGGTTTTGCGGGGGTATAACTTCTAGAGGGGGGGAGATAGGTAAAAATTTTGTTCTACGAAAATAAGTTTCTAGTAAAGATCTATGTATATATAAAATTTCAGCTTTCTATCTTCAAGGGTGTAGAAGTTTTGTAAACAGACACACGGACGGACGGACGGACGGACAGACGGACGGACGGACGGACGGACGGACGGACGGACGGACGGACGGACAGAGTGAAACTAATAAGCACTTTTTTCAACAAATTTTTTGGAAAAGTGCTAAAAAAAAAACACAGTAAAGCATTTAAAAGCAACGAAAAAAGATACAAAAAAAACTTATCGCGTGCTACAATTGATTTTTTTTCTCCTCATTTTTTTTAAACCAACCCGATGATTGTAAATGTTTAGATACAAATATTTTTATTCACAAACTTTAGTTTTTTGTTTAGTTTTACACTGTACCAGGTATGCCAAACATGTGATCCGCGCGAGCCATTAAATATAGAATAGAAAAAGTTTACAAACGTTTTAAAAAATAAATGAAGTTGTATTGTAAGTCAGTTGTGTTAATCATTGGCGATTTGATATCGATCTTATTGAAATAATAAATGTCAATTAAAGGTCAAATTGAATTTTTAAGCTGGTTTCTAAAACAAACTGCAAATTGACGAAGAAAGAAAAAATAAAAATTGGTTTGTGTTAATCGTATATTAAATCCTAAGTTTGTTAATATATTCTACCCGGGACTTGGTAGGATATATACGTTAACATATTTTAACAATATACATCACTCCATGTAATTCGCAGTTTTGCATACCTGAACAACCCAATGTACGTACATTCATTTTTGTACTGAAAGTATGCAAACAAAAAATATAGTGTGCGTTTTAAATTTAAAAACTGCTTGCATTTATCTATATGTGTATTTAGACAATTTTATGAGGGAAATGAAATAACCTGTAATTTACGCTTTTATCTTGGTTATTTTTATTTAATTTTTTTCTGTTCTCTTTTTATTAAATATTTTAAAAATACAAATATCAAATTGTATTTCCACTTGTTTTTGTATTTTCTAAATTCATAAGATATGATTAACATATCGCATTCGAAATGCATCAAACCAAAATAAATGCACATATGTACATGTGTTTGTATATTTGTAAGCTATTTTGTTAATTTTAATGAGTAATAATTTTTAATTCGAATTTAAAATTCTCGAACAATTATTACTGCTAATAATAATTAAGTAATTATTTTTTAATAATTTTCACTCTTAATGGTTGTAAATTATTAAAGTAAAGCTTATAGTAAACTCTCTGTCTTATAGAAACTAGTTCAAGATGCTTAATGGAAGTGTTTTCTTCTAACTAAGATACAAGAACAAAATTATTGATCTAAGAAACCGACCTTCTCATTTAGATTACCAATTAAAACCAGCATCTGTATCAAGTTCCTATTTTTGTGATTCCTTATCAGACGGGCATAAAGAAAAAGAAACGAGGGGGCGGACATAATCTAGATTTATTTTCAAATTGAACAGGAATCCCCGAACATGTACCATCTATAACTGGTCATGCACATGTAAACCTTGTATACCTAAATTTAAGCCAATTGAAAAACATGGAACATTGAAAAAAAAATTTGTTGACAATTAAGTGTTTGATAATTTATTCACTTCAAATTTGTCACACCCGAATATTTCGTCTTATGCATAGAAATCTTGTTTTATGTCAAATACCTTTCGATTATTTCGATTAGCTTGTTATTACTTATCTAACCACATAACATATTTTTAGCTTAATTTCACATGGAAATTGACCGCTAAATTATTAACATATCACCTAAGAAAAACACACTCTCAAATTTACAAGCCCATACATGTATAAAAACAGGTACATAACGTATGCACATTCATTCATACCTACATTTACATTGCATGCTAATACTACATGTGTATTTGTATATGGATGCAATAATCAATTGAATTATAGTTAGAAAATCAAAAACAAGCAGCAGAGCGAACTTTTTAATAAAAATTATACAAGAAAAAAATAACATGAACAATCATAATAAATAAATAAATAAAAAAAATATTTCAGTTGACTAAAATTCTTGGTGCGGAACACACAGTGCAAAACTTTGTTTGCCGCAAAATCATTTATTAAAAACAAAGAAAAAAAAAAGCAAATTAAAGAGCAAAAAATAAATTCATATTGATCTCTACTAACAACATTGCATTGAAAGTACGTACATACTTAATGTAAGTCTAAATTAACTACAAATTAAATAGAGAACAAGAAAAATGAGAAAAAAAATGGTCAATGCCAGAGTCATTTTAAGATTTAAATTCTTGTTTACTAACTAACAACTTTTTTAAAGTACACGTAACGTGTCTTACAACTTTAATTATGTTTTGCAATAGGTAGCTTAAGAGTCACACTACAATCGTACTACAATCAGTGATATAGAACGCAGAACGTAATTAAAATTTCAAAATTTTTTTATTTGATTTGCATTTAAATTTTCACATTTCTCTATCAAGCGCTCTATCATACTAACTAACACAGAAAAAACAATACAAATTTCTCGGATAGGAGACCAACCGCGGTATTCAAGTTATTTTCTTGCAGTTTATTAAATTTTTTATAATATTTTATTTATAAGAAATTGCATAGAAAAAATAGTAGAATTAAATAGAAAAAAAAACTCATAAATATTGTATTTTAAAAATAAAAATGAATACCGTAAAATCGCTATGATTTTCATTTTGCTTCCCAACAAAATTGAATTGGACTGCGGAAAAAGTTACTGGGTTCTTTTTTTCATCTTTTTGTTTCAATTTCTGTTTTTCTTCTTTTACTTTTTTTCAAAAAAAAAAAAATTTCTTTTATCGCATTTTCGAATCAGTTGATAAATTAACTCGATTGAGTTTAGACGTTGAAAAGTGATTAAAAATAAAAAAAATACGAAAAATTAAATAAAAAATATTACAAAGGCTTTTAATTATGCTTACTAAGTCAATTTTATGCGGTCTATTACAGATGGCAAATATTGAAGTTTCACTTAGTTCATCAGCCAATTCTGGTAGACGACGTAAGGGTTCATCGCTGGGTAGCCCCAGTATTATCAATGGTAATGGTAGTACACGTGCATCACCTAGACCTGGTGAAACCAAAGAACTTAGATCAGCATTACAAGATCGTGAAGCTGTCATACAAAATTTAAGAATACAATTAGGTTTAGGTAAACTTCCACGACCAACTGGACCACCATTAGATGATAGTGAAAAGCCAGCTGCCGAACAAAAAATAGCACGATTAAAAATTGATGCAGAAAATAAACGCATTGCAATTAGAAATTTAAAAAGTGCATTAGATAAATTAGATATAACAGAGTAAGTTACAAATTAAAAAAAATATTTTATATAACATTTTCCAAATAATAGATTTAAATTTAATATTATTTATTTTAGTAACATTGATATTAGAATTAGACAAGCCGAATTAGAATACGCACTTGGCCGGGAAGAATTGCAACTTTTATCAATTGTAGAAGAGGCGCGGGCGCTTCAAACACGATTAGATAAATCTAAACCTGAATCAAATTCATTATATAGGTTGGTAATAATTATAAGAACAATAAAAATAAAAACAAATTTGTAGTGGGTTTGGTCTGTCTAATTTTTTAAAAAATTTCTTTTCAGTATAATCACCTCAGGAATTAATTTAAGTTTACATGCAGTTAATGCAACAACAGGCCGTTGGGCTGCAATAACAAAATCTGAATCACATGGTTTATTTATTGAATGGGCTTTAGATGGTGAAGGATTATTACGCGGTGATAGAATTTTAGAAGTTAATGGTAAATTAATTACATGTAAAACCAAAGAAGAATTACAAAAAATTGTTGGAACATCTGGTAAATGTCAACTGGTTATAATAAGAAAAAAATCTTTAGCATTACCACAACAACAATTAGCGCAACAACAAGAAGATAACCAACGTCTGCAACATCGTATTTCATATTTAGAAGAACAAGTGAGAGAATTGCAAAATGCTAAAGAAACGTCACCACCACCTCCACTACCTTCCCCTTCAACACATCCAAGTGCTAATGCTGCTACCGTATCTAAACACAATTATAATAACAAACAAAGTAATAATAATAATCAAAATGGAAATAGGTCACCAGTTGAATCAATAACATCATCATTATCGTCAATGTCATCAGCTTCATCAAATAATGGATGTATGCAACCAACAAATGCAACAACAACAAACGGTCATGTTACAAGTATTAATATATCATCACCAGCAGCGTTAACGCCCGCAGCTACAACAACATCCACAACAACAAATACAACAAATTTTTCAACGCCAAAATCATCTACAGTAAATGCTGCAATTGATAAACCTTTAGTATATCAACGTGGTAATTATGTCACTACATTATTGGGTGGTAAACCAATAGAATTAACGGGTAATTTGTCTACAATAAATTCAAATAGTTTAACTAAATCTACAGCAGCAACAACATCAACAAAAACAACCGCAATTAATACAAAATCAGATTTCAATACACCAACTAGTAAAACAAGTTCATCGCAAAATATAGGCAACAGTAACAATAATCATTCTCATCATCATCATCATCACCATCGCCATCATATAACGAAAACTCTAATTCATGAGAATGGTTATTCAGATCGTATGAATGGAAGTCATACAGATACTGAAACCAGTTATATGCCATCTAAATCTCTATCAGCATCAAAAATTTCTATAAATAGCGATGTACCATTATCATCACAGTATCAACATCATTATCATCATCATAATCAATATAACGGAAGTAGTAGTACTGGTCGAAAACGATATACGGAAAGAGGTTTAATGCGTAACGGTAAAATTACTAGTGAAGTCGCAAACCAAATATTCAATCAACAACATCATCAACAACAAAATCTTATCAATGGTATAAACCATATTAATGGTCTTAATAATGATATTATTAACGGTGAAAACATGCACGCTCGCAGTGTTGAACATTTGAATTACAATGGGTACGTTTTAAATTTTATCGTTACATAAATTTGAATTTTGTAGAATTTTTTTTGAAGAATATTCTATGAAAAAATGTATTTTATTAGAATTTTATTTATTTATGTTTATGTAAATAAAAAAGTTTACACTGTTTTGATTTAAAAATTAGTAATGGTTTACCCTGTGGCATGTTTTAATTCCTGTTATAAAATTCTTGCTTTTAAATAATAGTACTATTTCTTGCGCTTTCTATCTATTCTATAATTTTTGATTATCCCCATCTCTCAATTTTTTTTTAAAAGCTAGAAAATCTATTACGAGCTTTTGAAGATTTCGCTTTCCCAAAAATTATGTGTATGCTAGCGTGAGCTAATGAAGAACCAATAATTCCTAAATTGTTAAACTTGTTCCACTTTAAAGTTCTCACTCGAACATTTTAATTAAAAGAAAACAAGTTCCAATGTCCAAAATATTATTTAAATTATAAAATTTATGCTTAAAGAACATAAGTAGTGTTGAAACATTTGCTTTTTGAGTTATTGGATATTATACTTAAATAACTTAATACTTCTTGGAAGTTGTTAATATTTCGTTTTATTTACTACAAAAATTCCAATGTTTACAATTGCTTCAATACTCACTGTGAAGGTTGAAAATAATAAAAGCGTCGCATAATCTTTCCTACTGATATTTTAAAATTTCTTAAATTTTAAAAATTATTAACAATTTTTATTATTAATTGTATAATATTTTTATTTTAGAATTGAACGTCGAAAAGATGTCATACGTTCTGAGCAAATACGAAAATTTGGCAATGATTTACGTAGTGTTAAAAGTTTAGATTTTGAAAGTGATACAAATGACGGCCATTTAAATCATACATCACATATTTATTCGAAACGAAACGTCGATTATACATCAGAGCCAGTAGCGCCAAGAGTACGACCGACACCACCAAAGAAACCATTACGATTATCATTACAACGTGCTCAAAGTTTACAAACCGTTGAGGTGTTTCCAGGCAATGATGTTGATAAGAAGAGACCATTAAAAAGAGCACATAATAGTGAAAAAGCTAATGATCAACAAATAATTGAAAATTTATCACCGTTACACACAGCATCATTAGGAAGGCATAAGCATATTTAGGATTTAATTATCTAAATCAAAATTTTTGTCATAAAGGAAAAAAAATATTTTTTTTTTTTGTAAAAAAAATTGTTTTTAATTTTGCATTTTTTTTATTATTTTTATAAACACTTCGAGAATTTAGACAAAGAATCTAAAATCCCTTTTGATTGCAAATGTGCATATAAATTTAATTTAATTACAGAATTTTTATAAACCTTATGTATTATTTTTAACTCAAAAATAGAAAGAGTTAACAAATTGCAATAATAAAATTTAGTTGTAATCGAATGAATTTAAATTATTATGCAAAGATTTGAGTTTTATTTTATGTAAAAAAATTTATGCATCATCCATCATTTGTGCATTTATTTTAATCAAAACCATATCAAAATATTCTTTTCCCTTTTAGAAGCAAATAGCAATGGAAATTTGTTTATATAATTGATTATTTAAAAATTAGTATTTAGTTGAATTTTGAGGATTGAATAGTAATAAATTTGTATGTAATAAATTACAATATAAAAAGTATGTAAGGACAAACAAAACGATTACTTTGTCATAACAGTTTAATATGTAAACTAAGGATAATATTACATTTTCCTTTAAATAATTGCTGTTAGAATACTTGAAACTTTTGTGAATTCAACTTCTTATGGGAATATTTTCAAGGAAAAATTATATTCCTTTGTTAGTGAAAACTTTAAGACTCTTTTGTTCGAATTTTTTATTTCAAATCTAGAAAATAAATAATTCAACAACATAAAAAGTATGAAAATTTAAAAATTTTAATGCTTTTACAACCAAGTTGTTATTAGTTTTCTTAAAATTTTCATTTTGTATAGAGCCGTGGTGTCACCATTTTCACGTAAATCGCGAAACTGTTTTTGATAGTATAATTTTGTGTCACCAAGCTTTATAACAAATTGAAAACAGTTACTTAACAATGTATTTCATTCAGGTTTAAAATGTGTAAATATATTTCCCAATTTAATGTTACTAAACTTTATGTTATTCAGTATTGCAGTTTTAAAAATTTTGGAATCAAGTGACTCAAAACTGACAGTAGATACTTTTTCGCTTAAACTTTTCAAAATGAAGTTTTTAAGTTAGTTTTGCATAGTTTTGACTAAAAAAAATATTTGCCGTCATATGTACGTCAACTTCCACAGGCAGGTTGTCCACAACAATATATTTAGCATTTCGTTTACAAAAACTAAAATATAATAATTATTATAAATTCAAAACCAATGTCGCAATATCTTATTGAAAACATTTTCACATAGAGAGAAAAAAACTTCCGATTGTCGTAAAGTTTTTGAGTTCTCATTAATAAATAAATATGTATGTATATAAAAGAATATTGCTGAAATATAGGTGTCATTATTTGAACAAGAATAGTTAAAAAAAAAATAAAATAACTTTTGTTTACTTTAGTTGGCCACATATGATTCGTACAAGCAGACACACATATTATTTATGCCGTACTATATAAATAGATACTTGTTTAAAGTGTATAAATGGAAAGAAAAACAAATTTTATTGTTTTTTAGACTGGTAAGAGATAAAACTTGTTAGACTAGAATTTAAAATTAAAAATTTCAGATAACTAGTAAAAACACAAAAAAAAAAAGTAAATAAACAAACGAAGAGCTTTAACGCACCATCCATTCAATGCGATTTCAATTTCGTACATCAAATTTTAATTGAAAATCAAAACATGTTTTAGTCGAAAGTGAACTTTTCATGAGAAAAGTCGGTTATTGGCAGTACTTAAGATTATTTTGACAAAGAAATCTCTATTTGGTAATAATAAATAAAATAATAATAATTTTATACTTTTATTATATTTTTAATTAATCATTTTAATTTAATAAAAAAAAGGAATATTTGCGAATTATATTTTAAAGTAATTATTTTTTTATGGCTCTTTATTTTGTTTGTTTGTTAATGAATCATTGACACCTTTATTTTTTTAAAAATTAATTGTTAATTTGGTAAAAGTAATCAAAAAATATTTTTATAATCGACGATAATATAAATTTTGGAATAAATTAAAAATTCAATAACAAAATAAATCAACAAAAATTTTTAAAATAATATTCACAAATTTGTCCTTCATTTGAAGGTCATAATAATAATAATAATGAAGTTGAGATATTTTTTTTTGAAAGTGATTTTGTAATTCGTTTTATGAAATATGAGAAGGATTTAAACAAAGTATACTTTTACAGTGAGGCCGAAATAATTTTATTCGTAAATTGGAAATAAAGTAGGTTAATATATCGATTATAACAAGTATTATTTATGCGGAGTTGTGAGTAACTGGGAAAGAAATATATTATATATAAACACGCTGATTCTAAAAGGAGCAATTTTAAATCTGGTTTACTCTCAGCAATTTTTATAAAAAAAAAACCAAAAGTAAATGCTATATACCTAAATATTGATGTGATATAGAGCATTCCGTTTTAATATATTTCGGATTTCCGAAATATATGAATGATGGTTTCTAACACCGGCTGTTAAAACGAATCTGCATGAATGCCGCTTACCTAAAGCAAAAAGTTATCTTGTCTCAAACAACAATTGGAAAATAATAAATGCTGTCATCTAATTATAGATCGTTTTATGGGATATCTACATTATTGAGAAAAAATAACGTAAAGGGTGAAGTTAATTTTTATCATGGATTTTCCTGTAACATTAATATAATCAATTTATCATAATACCCATGTGTTTTTTTTTTGCAACGATCTTGCAAGTCACGATAAATATTGAATTTATGTGAATGTTATACAAAATCACTTTAATTTTAAAATAAATATTTAAGTTAACTGGTCAAAGTTTAAAATTATAAAAATAGGTAGAAAAAAAAAACAGCATGTTCCAAAAAATAAAGTTTGAAATATTGATAAGCTTGCTTATTAATAATTATGGTATGTAGTCAAAAATCAATGTGATTCATTTTCTATAGTTTCTACTATTGCATATAAAATTGCTTTGCATATAAAAATTTTATTAATTGCATTTTTATTTTAAGTAAATAAATTCAATCTTGATGAACAGCTTCATTTTAATATTATACATACACATTATACATACCCACATTTATAAACAGTTGTTTGTATAACAATTTCATTAATATTTCATATTCATTTTACGCTTTGCATAAAAGAAACAAGTAAATAATGATACTGAACGCAATGAGTGTTTCACACCTTATGTCTCTTAACAATGCATAACTGTTACACGTTTGTTTCCGTATGGGATACAGGAGTAAAACCAAAACTGAATACTAGTGCTTTATACAGACTACTAGAAGATTAAACACTGTGAAACATTAAACTTTTATATGAGCATAATTAGAGTGAGCGTAATTGTCATTTGGTTAAGTCAATTTTCCCTATAAGTATGCAATATTAATGTTTTTATTGAAGATAAAGATACATACAGTTTATAGTTTGAAGTGTTTTTCGTTTTATTTGATTATTTTACAAATAAACATAGTAGGTTCTTGAAAGAGATGTGGACTCCATCTGGCCACACGCGCGAAGTCAATGCAGTAGACCAATAAGAAGGCCCATCGGTAACTCTCAAACTAATATTCGACAAACCCCATATAATACAATGCCCAAAATGCATCTACCGGAACCAATCAACCTCCTTGGCGAATATAGATAGCCGCGTCAAAGACAGTTCATTGTAAAAGAAGACCCTCAGAATGTTCTTCCTCTTCCACATCGGAGAAAAGCAGGTATAAGGAACATAGTCCACGTCCTCCACCTTCGCAGTATCTTGAAAGCCTCTTGGCCATATTTCCCAAGATACGATGCCCTATCAACATCCCTACCAGTATGCTAAGTTCAGCCCTGCCATATCCCAACAACACCTTTGTTCTCTTCTCAGTCTTGTAAGGCCACAAAAAAATTTACTGCTTACAGTTAAATGTGCACTGATGCGGAACACACATTATTCATTTAACAACATAAAATTTAATTAACATGCCAAGCTTAAGATATAGTTATAGAATATTAATTAGTATACTTATAATGTAATGTAATCACAATAATAATAAATAGTAAAATTATGGGGTTAATCAAGTTGATGATGATGACATTTAAATAGATTCCAAGTTAATAGAAATTTGTCTCAGTTGAGGATTGATACGAGTAAACCGAATTTTATAATTTATGATCATCAATAGTACAATTAATTTCTTACTTATATTCCTTTTATAGATAATTGTTTTATGAATTAAAGTAAGACGTCACTCACCTTTTTTGTATACATATTTATGTAAGCTATAAGCTTTGAAGCTTTTTCTGGTCGAATAATAGATTTAAACAATTATTAGTGAATATTCTGATACGTTGTATAATTAAAATTTTAACAATCTCCGAATTTTATCATTTCTTGTTTACTGATTTATTTTCATCGTAAAGATAATTTCAATATACGAAGTGCTATGAATATAGCCTGTAATTATTTTTAGCCGCCTACGTATATAGTATTATATTCAATGTAATAGCATAACACACACAATTTTCAAAGAACTTTGTGCACAGATATATTATTTTCAAATAATTGTGTAAGCACATTAAGAATTTTGGAATTTTTCTAAATTATTTCAAGGAATTTAATTATTATATTTAATTATTATTTTATTAGTGATACTTTCCAGATCGACATAAAGTTAAAAATAATTATTTGAACTCTTGAGGTGCCCATCTAAACAAAAGCTTAATATTATAAATTATCTTATAAAATTTAAATTTGTAATTTTAGGATTAAAATTTACTTACCTAAATATTAAAAATTTCATATGCTTATGTAAAACTAAATATATTCACTTTAAATTGTATTAAATTTTATTATTTAATGGGCAAAAATGTTAAAGCTGTTTTTACAGGTAGTTTAAACCAATAAAAGTTGTTGTGAATAAACTACATTAAAGAACCGGTCCTTAAAATTTATTATTTCAATTTGAAATTCGATTAAATAAAGCCGGTTTTATGAGTTATGAATATTAATTACGTCATAAAATAAGTAAACAAAATGTAATCGGGTCACTAATATTGAAGCAAGCGTAAATGCACATACAACGGAAGCAAAAACTACAAATCAATAGATAAATTTTTAATATGTTTATTGCAATACAGTAATTAAGATTGTAATATTTTTACCGACCGTATTGCATACAATAAGGAAAGTTATGTGATGGCAACAAATTTTGCATATCGAGTTTTCGGTATAAACGCATTCTCCATGGAAGCGTAAATAAACCATTTTTAAAGAGGTGTCGGTCTATCGGTCTGTATGTCTGTGTGAACGCGTGTATCTTAAGTTCATCTGAATCAAGATTTTATACATATGTGAGTTTGTTTTGGCTATGTCATGAATTGATCAACTTTTGGGATAAATCAGGTCTTGGGAACTGAACTTTTTTGCGGCCCATTTTTAGATTTTTACCCATATAAAGAGAAATAATCAACCAATTTCATTGAAATTTAATACTTTAATTTCGGAAACCAAATTGAAGGCCGATTTTACATTTTTTTTACCCTATCTACGGAACGGATCAATTAAATTTTTTGAAAGTTGATATTTGAGCTCTGGTTGCTACCGAAACTAACTGGTGAACTTTTCAGAGAATTCGAATGGCACAAAGCGAAACTCTACTAAGCTTACTAACGCCCTAAAAATTCGAGAGGAGTTTTTAAATGGCATTTTTATAATGTTCTGTAACACTTTCACTTAACTAGACAATACACATTGCGGTCGGTTATGTGCTAATCAAATCAGATTTTCTTCAATATTTTTTATACAAACATATTTGTGACTAAAATATGAAACTACACGTAGAAGAAAAGAAGGGTGTCTTTTACATTGCGTCAATACTAATATTGTATAAGTATTTTACAAAATATTCAATAGTGTAAAAATATCAAATTGCAAATAGACTAAAGTAATTGAGATTTTTGAGCGTATATATATCACAGCCACAGGCAACATATTCAATGATATTAGCTTGTAAAAATGAAAGTAAATAAATGCCTTTCACCTGAATATCTTATTTTATTTTTATTTGGAGAGCTTTTTAACTATATATACCACATATGTAACATGGTGCGTAAATAATTGTGTTTTTATTTACAAATTTAATTTATTTACAATATAAAATTTTTTACATCAGTAAGTTTGGCAAAACAGCGGCATTAAAGTATGGACATTGTACATTTTGATAGTAGACCCATATATTTTCAATTAAATGTAAAAAGTTTTATATAGCACAAGAGGTGTTATAAGAGACAGTACTCATATAAGCAAAAACCTCCAGTAACAACAAAAAATTGCTTATAATTTTTACATGTCTTATACACGGGGATTCGCTTGTATAATAAATTTGTATGTACGAACATGTATAAACTCTATAATAATTTCAATCCGGGTTAAAATTTAGTATATGATTGAATAAATTAAATATTTATTTTTTAATTTACTCAGAGCTTAAGTAAAATTATTGTGTCTGCATATGAACGTAGCTTAAAATTATTTCTAATTTAATATTACTGAACAAAAGTTTGAGCCGTTTCAGATGAGAATAGAGATTTTTTAGTGATGAGAAGAGAAGAGATATTTTTTCTTTTATAATGTAATAAAAATAACTGTTCGATATTAGAGAAACATTTTGTTAAGTTAACTCATAAATATCTAAAGAGAAAAAAAAGAGATCAGTTGAAATTTTGATTCGGTGGTGTTAAGGTGGGCTCGAAATTATTTATTTAAAAATATATGTGTACATACATAGACGTACAATATAATTATATATAGTTAAAAAAAACAAGTGAAGTATTAAATGTGATTTTTTTGCATCCTTAACAAAAAATAAAATAAAGCTTTAAAATTAATTAAATAATTTAAAATACAAAATATAATAAACAATAATTATTATTAATTTTATGTGAAATTTCAAACACACATGTATATATACATAAAATATGGATACGATTTTTTATAAAGTATATTATACCCGTTATGCATTAAATTTTGATATTTTTTTTTTTTCTTTTCAGATCTAAAATATTATGTTTGCTTTATTATTAGGAATTTTAGCCTTCAGCGCTATAGAAGTACATGCTGAGGTAAGCTTGTTTGATTTCATATGTAATACAATATATACTTATGTACTATTAATATTATATTAATAAATAAAAATATTATGTATTTAACAAATTTGATAAAAGAAAAAAAAAAGTGAATTTATCAAAAATATTTGTTTTATAATAGAATAAACCATTTGTTGCAATTGCTGTTGTAGAAGGTACCGAAGGTGCCGTTAAAGGAAATATTACATTTACACAAGCTGGTTGTGGTGAAAATGTTCATGTTCATATTTTAGTACATGGTTTATCAGATGGACCTCACGGTTTTCATATTCATGAAAAAGGTGATATTACAAATGGTTGTTTGAGTATGGGTGGACATTATAATCCAGATAAGGTAAACAAAGAATAAATTTATTATATTTGAATTTAATATAATGTGTTATATAAGAAACGTTTTGAAATTGGAAAAAAAATAACAATTTTAGATGGATCACGGTGCACCAACCGATGAAATTCGCCATGTGGGTGATTTAGGAAATATAATATCACAAAATAGTGTTGTCGATACTGTAATAACAGATCATTTAATAACTTTAACTGGACCAAGATCAATTGTTGGTAGAGGTGTTGTCATTCATACCGGTGAAGATGATTTAGGCAGGACATTGCATCCAGATTCAAAAAAAACTGGTAATGCTGGAGGACGTGCTGCTTGTGGAATTATTGGAATCAAGTAAACTATATATATACATACATATACATATACATACATAAATATTTTATGCTCATATATAAAAGATGTTCAAGAAAAATTTAATATTTTTTGATGTATAATTTTTTGTTCCAAATATAAAAATAGCTTGTGATTTGTTAAATATATAACGTATCATGTGCAAATATTGTGCAATTGTATATACACATACATTTTCTATATTCCACATTTAATATTTAGATTTCACATTTAACTCAATTATATAACAGTTTGCCAATAATTTTAATAACAGTAGTATGTTTTAGATTCTTTTGTTTGTCCTTAGTTTGAATACATGTTTTGAATTTTTTTTTTTTTTTGTTTTTTGTAATTATTGTAAGTTTTTAGTGTTCTATAATTTCTTTTATTATTTTATTTGTTTCGTAATGTACTTATTAAATAAATTTCTTACATTTAAAATAAAGCATCAAATTTCAAATTTTAAACTAATAATAACAATAAGAACAATAAATGCATTTTTAATATTTATTTTTAATTTTTTTCTCTTAATAACATTTTCAATATGAATTGATTAAATAAGGAGTAATTAAAATTAATTTCTTAACTTCTAATGCTAGTTTGGACTTTGTGATTTTTATATATGACGAATAAATAACGAGGAAAACATTTTAATTTCGAAATTTTAAATTTTTCGCTTTATTTAAATAATTTTTAAACTATCAATTGCGAAAATTGCTTGATTGCAAATGATTGTCATTTTCAACATCAAGCAAATGATCAAGAAATAAGAAAACACTGCCTTCACAAAATTTCATTTTCCTAATACAAGTAATTTATATAGTTTTAAGGATATAAAATTTAGCGAAAGGGAAATAAAAAAATTTTTAAATAAAATTTTGAAATACTAATTTCAAAATCAAGTTTAAGAAAACTTAAAATATCACAAAAGAATCAGCAAAAGTATTTCATTAATTTGAAGTTTGCCTCAAAACACAGTATTGTAAATTCTGACCTTCACTAGTTTAAGATAACTAACAGAAATCTAATATTGCAACGCCAACTAACAATTAAATTACATTTAAAAGAAAATCTAAAGTGAGTTCATTAATCTTCATTACAAAATTCTTTATTATACTTAATCTCCAAGCCTCTTCCAATTCTTAATTGATTTCATAGAAGATACAAAAAATAATAAAACATTTTCGCAGATATGTACATATATATATATTTTTTCCCATACGCATAAAACCTAACTATAAAAAAATCATTTATTTTTATTTTTCCAATGTCAAGTGCAAGATCACTCTGTAGGAATGCTATACTATAACTAAAAAAAAAGCTGCATTAATTTTTAATCTCACATAATTCACACGTACACAATATACAACATGTAAACACAACATAATCTCATGTATAACATAAATACAATAACAACAAACATAAAACGAAAAAAAAAACTTTAAACAATTTATTTTATTGTTCATACATAACATATTAATGCATATCTATATATATACGTATATATATATATATATATATATATATATATATATATATATATATATGTATATATATATATATATATATATATATATATATATATATATATATTGTATAAACATATATACAAATATGTAATACAAATTTATTGATCATTATAGAATCAGGCCTAGAACTTTTTAAAACCTAAATATATTTTGAAAGGCAAATGTAACCAAAATACCAAACGTATAATTTTTTAACAAAGCCAAGAAAAAGATTTTATCGCATAAAGCTAATTTGACTAAAGGTGTAAGTAACTAATTATGTGTGTGTGTGTTAATAATAAATATATAGAATAATTGTATTTCTAAACCGCTATTAAATCATGATCATCATCATAATCATCATCATTATCCATATTATTATTAACGCAACCTCATAACTATAGCAACAAAAAATATCAATCAAGAAAAGTGCAAAAAATATGAAGGCAATCAAATGGAGAAAGCTTTATCTTAAATATTAATAGAAACAAAAAACCAAAATTAATATGCTACAATTTTTATGTGTCAAAGGCCACCCACCGAATGATAACTAATTTCAAATTACATAAAATATACACGAGGGTAAAATTTAAAGAACAAAAAAAAATATTATGTACTTATATATATTTATCATATAACATATACACACTCTCCAACAAATTCTAAGTCTGGTCAATTAAATTGCATGAAATTGAAAGCTAAATTTTTATTAGTAGCAGTATGTTTAGCACGTTTTTGAACTATATAACATAAACGGTGTCTATATGTAAATCTAAATCAACTTATGTAAATTACGAGTATAAGCTTTGATTATACAATTTTTTTTTAAATTTAAAATACGTCACTCTCAAAGAGAACCTACGTTATGTTTGTGTATGTATAAGTACAATATGTTCAAAAATATGTGAAACAAAAAATTAATAACATAAAACCGGTTTACACACTTTAAGTTCAAGAATTGAGATTTCATCATATAAAAATAGTTTCTCCTTTCTTTTCAAAAAGGAAATTTATTCAGATTTCTGGTATATATAATAATATTTGGCTTCTGGTATAAATAATAATATTTATAAGCAATTAAAGGTGCATACATATATACAGAGTTAGAGAGTGTTGTGTAAAATTGCATATATATAGGGGTTTGAATCATAGTATGCAATTAATAGTTTAAACAATAAGTACATACATAGCATTATTTGTTTTTGTTATAAATTAATATAAATTTTTTATCTGTTAAATATTAATGTGTTGTTCAATTATTTTTCTATAAATTATTCAGTTCCTTAGTGAAAAGTAAACTTTTTTATTTTTCAACCAAAGCCTAAGTTTTGTAAAAGAGTATATTATTGTGTAAAAAAAAATCAGAAAATCAATGTTGGTAAATTTTGCATAAAAATGCTTAAATGCTTAAAAACTTATTTCTACTGTAAACACAAGAGCTTGCACAATTAAAAAAAAATGCTTTCTATAACTTTTAATAAATCGATACCTCAAATCAATAGTGGGATATCTTGAAAGAGACAGCTTTGAATAATATGAAAATAAAAAGAATTTTTATGCCCTTAAGTATCGACCGCTAAATTTAGTTCATAAAGTGATAAAAGCAGCTCCTCTAATTAAGATCCAATTCATATACAATAGTATTCGCTGAGCCTACAAACTTATTTGACAAATTTTGACATTATCTAGTTTAACAATAACCTGAAAATCCAATTTAACAATAACATTGTTACAGTTCGTGGAAATCGATTTACTTGAATTCCATTTCCACGAACTGTTATTAGAAATGCGTCCGATTATATGTTGTTCACATAAGATATTTTGTAATACTTTTGAATCATAAAGAAAATTTTTTCGTCTAATGCGCTTTAATTTTATTAAATACAAAAATTCAAGATATCTCAATTGGTTGTTTTCAGGGTATAGAAATTTCTTGTTTATATCGTATCTCATAACCAACCATATCAGTTTCATTAATTTATAAAATTTCGCATTATGACATAAAACAATATTTGTTTGTTTCTAATAATATTTTGGCTATAAAAGTGCTTTTATTTATTTAAATTTTAGAACACCATCAGATACAAATTGGCCCTGTACATCGGGTAGTAATTTCATTCATCGAACCAATGTTCTTCAAGCTCTAATCCTGCCATTTATTTTTGTAATTTTAAGTAATACGTTTTAGATTTAGTTCTTATTCAAAATCGATTAAATTGTCTTCGAATATTTACGAAAAAAATATGTTAAATAATTTGTATATAATTATAAAAACTATTTATTAAATTAATAAAAATTATTTAAGTGTAATATTCATAATATAAAAATTAGTTTGTAACAACACTTAAAACGTATTTCATGATGTTCACAATTTAATGAATTTTGTAGTAAAATTATTGCAAGTACTCGTATTTATTTCAATTTATAACCTTAAAAATGTAATGTAAAATATATAAATATACAATTTTTTTGTCGCATAATTTGGATTAAGTTTTTTGAACAAAAATTTTTGCTATAAATAAAAGATTTTAATTAACGCACAAAATTAAAATTTTATGTCAGCTGTCATCATATCACGCCTAATATATTATTATTGAAAATTATATTGAAGATTTTGTTCTCTAAATAATTTATGTGAAAGTAGCTAGATGTTGCGTTGCTCTCAGGAGCCTTTGTCATACATAGCAAATGTGAGAGTAAGATTTCCGACCTTCTATTGCAAAAACTACGTGTTGTGGAAGAGTGGAACAGATGCGTGGGGTTAAACATAAATCTAAGCAAAAACATCTTGGTTGCCATCCCCAAACGTAGAAGCGGGGATAAACTAATAAACCCAATTTTGTGTGGTGAACGTATTGGTTATTTTAGAGAAGTGAAGTATCTTGGGGTAACCGTGAATTGGTTATTTTAGAGAAGTGAAGTACCTAGAAGATCGATATAGGGTGTGAGCTCGGATGTATATGGTATCCACCTGGATACTATGGTGCGGCGTTCAGTACATATTGTACGGTATTTTAGACTGAAGTACATGGAATAGAGATCTGTCTGAGAGTCAACTTAGGAAAAAAAATAGGTATATTTTGTGTATTGCAATCACGCTAATTTGGGTGCCTGGCCATAGTAGACATGTAAGCTACAAGATGGATATGTGGGTTCAGTCTTTCTGTAGGCTGACTTCTTTTTCCATTGGGACTATAGGCTTGACTGCCTGGTTGAGGAGAATGCGACCTTGGCTGGGGGAATACGAAGGGTTATCGTCATGCGAAGGGGTAACAAATTAACCGCAGAGTTTGATTCGAATTTCGAATTTGTTATATCACTTGCATAAGCTAGAGTGATTGGGCTCCCTCTTGTGCAGATTTTGTAGGGAAAATGTCGAAAGCATATTCTCTGCAACTGCCACGTACTGGTTGTCCAGCGTCGCAATTAGAACTACTGTTTAATTCTCTTGAGGATACTTGGAAATCTTACACTTGGAAAAACTTTTTTACGATCTTCAAAATTTTCGCAATAAAATTTAGAAGATCAGGAAATAATTTAAAAGTAGTTGAGCATCCCAATTTGAATTTTGACTTCTTCTCAAAATAAAAGCAAATGTTAAAAATATTGTTAGTATTTATTTACTAAAAATCGTTAATTAAAATTTTAAATGGGTCTATAAATTGAAAGTTTATTTTTAAATTCTGCAATATTCAAAGGCCTTCGAATTCTATTAAAACCCATATACTGCCATTAACTTTATTATTTAGTATTTTTATTATTCTTTGTGCAAATAATTTGAATTTGCATTTTATTTATTAATATAAAAAGAAAAAATTGCTTTTACTAATATTCTTATAATTCAAGACTTTTATTTTCTACTCTTTGCGGTAAAAAAGGTTAGTGACATTTTTAATAGCCCCTTTACGTATACATTGGTTATTTTTAATATCTTAACCCCTTATATCGATTTCATTCTTTTCTTTGGCTTTGCATTTCTACACCTTTATATGCTTTAGAATTTTCCTACCTTTTTATTTGTATTTATTTAAATACGGTGACCTACTTAATGCATAAAATAATATTATTCTTACATTTATATTTATGTATGTATAGCATATTGTGTATATGGAATATAAATGTGAAATAAGAATAATGAATTCAAAAATTGGTAGGTTATTTTTAGGACATGATAAAGAAAAATATATAAAAATTGTCCTACTTAAAATTTACTTCTTAAATACTAAGTGTATATGTAAGAAACAAACAAATTATCAATTACCACTTTTATATTTTTTTTGAACTATGTATTAAAAATTCATTTCAAATCAGGTTAATGGACTTGTCCCAAGTTTATATTATAAGAACACTATATTGTATTAGAATATTCATTTTGGGAACCTACATACTTTTGAACAAAATATTTCGAATAACTTATTGTAATATTTTTAAAGAAGTCATTAAGATATTTTATATTTTATCTTTGCCTCACCATTATGAAAACAAATATTTCTTGAGAAACTAATAAAAAATTAGAGTCTTTTTAACATGTTTTAGTATATTCGTAGGAATTTGTAAGGCTCGAGAACATTAAGTTAGAGTAACAAATGTTGTTATATTTAAGAAACTTTTTTATAAGAATTCTAAAACATCATATTCTGTAAAGAATGAAATAGTTTGCTTTTGATTCTCATTTTACTTACTTTTAGAAGCTTCCACTCGACCTTTTCTCCTCGTTCTATTCTTTGTAATTTACCCAACGTGGCATTATCTTAGATCTGATTTTTCTTGTTCAAACTTTATATAACTAAGCTATGTGTTCTTGGAACGTCCGAATCTTCTTGAACGTTGCGGGTTCTATTCCAAGCCAAATCTAGCAAAATTATTGACGGGTTTTCTTAGAGTGTGCCCGATCTATATCCATTTTCTTTTTAATATTTGTCTACCGATAGGCCTCATGCCTGTTATTTTTCGGAGATCATATTGCTAAATATGATCACCAGAATATTCGAAATATTATTCTGAGGGATCTATTGGTGCAGCTTCTGGCTGACGAATTTTGATGTAAGCCAAGTTTCGATGCCATATACATACAACAGAATCGATTTTATACAGGACCGGAAAATTCTTAGCTTAATCGCTCTGGATATCTAGCCTCTTCTTCATATCGGTTATAGTCTGCCAAACGCTGCCACTTCTTTTTTCAGTCTGTCGTCAACATCTGTACGAGCTCCGCCATTAGGTGTCATGCTGCTGTCCGAATAGCAGGCCAGAGTGGCAGAAGCTGTAGAATCGACATCGAATAGTTACTTATCTACAATTGAGTGCTTAACAATGGGGCCACATTGATTCTCAAACCTTTGTGAAGGATTTATTATGTTTCTTACAGTTACAATGCTGCTCTTTATATAGTTCAGAATTAGGTAAAATCGAAAGTCAAGAGGTTACCACTCACTGTATTAGAATTTTGTAAAAAAGATAGTTTGAATAGTTCAACTCACATAAAAAGGACAAAAAATTATAATGTGATCTTGAAATATCAAAAAGTTAGCACTTTTTAATCATAATGTAAAGAGCAGAAATTTTGAGTTTCGCAAATGACATTAACATGTGGAAAGTATTTATTTTCGTCCATTTCCTACCTATATAATATAAATCGCGTGAATCAAAGTAAAAAAGGTGCGTTCACCATAAATTTTATATAATTATCTCTGATTTAAAATTGCCTACATATATGTAATCTTATATATTATATCGAATTTTTACTAGTGGATGAATATTACATCATTTTATAGAACAATCTTTTGTTATGTGAAACAACCTTATATAAATTTTCTGTGTGAATTTTATACCACGTTTGTTAATAAAGTGTGAATGCAGATTTTTTTATCTAAAATTCAAATAGTGTTTAAAATGCTAATCCTGAATAAAATGCAAACCAGGTTCCGAAGCAAATTTCAAGTTTCGCACCAAGATGGGCTATTAATACCTTCATAAGGTTATTTACACCTTACTTATTTCTTAAAATTAGAAACCTATATGTGTTCCTATATGTGATATGCTTCTACAAATATGATATTGAAATTTTAACGATTTTAATTATATTTACCTGTCACACTCAAGGAAAATGTGGGAAACGGGCAAAAACATATTCCGTGACAATACTTTCACTCAGAGCTCCCTAATAACGGCGTATGCTTCTGCAATTATCGGTTCCCCGTAATCCCATGTATCCCCAACAATCGTTCTCTCACGTCTTTTGTTTCTTCTTTTCTACGGATGTCTACATTTCTTTTGAGAATCTGATCACGATTGCATTTACGATTATTAAAACTACCGCTTCGAAAAAAATAAAAAGTTTTATTAAAATTATAATATTATCCCTAAGTATTTTACGTGCACATTTATTAATAAACTCTAATATAGCATGGATAAATTTAAGTCATTTTAAGAAATTCTCATTAAGACGAATATTCTTTTTTCTCCTTTGAAAAAAAATATTGTGTTAGAAAGGAAAAAAATAAAAATATTAAAAAACATGAAAGAAAGGTCGAAATGTCGTAGCTGGTTAAATTTTCTGACCTCATTTGAATGAAGTTACCACAAAACAAAAAAGAATTTAATATATAGGTGGAAAACAAGAAATTTATTTTTTACGAACAAAAAAATTATTCAACTATAAAAAAAAACCATTAAAATCACGCGAACAGTTTAAAAATCGTCCTTAAAAGGTCAAACAACAACATTCGAAAAAATTTTCTAATTCTCTTTTTCCTTTCGTTTTCTTTTATAAGAATTTGTAGTCGTTTTAAACTAAAAGAAACAAGAAAAAACAAAGTCCTTAGAAAAGAACACTAAAGAAAGAACCCTACAAATCGGAAATTAAACGAATTTTCTTGAGAATTTTTCTTTTTTAATACTCCTAAAACCCGTTCTCAAGTTGAAATTTGTAATAAAAATGATTTGTTTTCCAAAGAACATATAAATAAAAGTGAAAACTCTAATAATTCCACCGAATGAAATGTAAATTCAAACCAAGACCCCATACGTATTTATATTAATTTGTATTTTAAAGGGCTACCTATATGTTAGGGGGCTATATAATTTATAATACTTGTCAATTATATCCATATTTCTACCTATATACTCTTCAATATAGTAATAGATGAAGTTAGGAAAGAAACCAACAATGTAGGTAGAAATGGTATTGGATCACGACAAATGCCTGTTGACACACTGATATGAAAATATAAAAGTAAAACTAAACGTGCTTTCAAAGGAGTCAGCCGAAGTCGGTCTACGTATCAACTCAAATTAAACAAAAATAATGAAAATTACGAATATGTTAAAGTTTGAAATAAAGAACTCACTGATACAAGATGTGGATAGGCACACAACTTGATATTGAAAACAAGCTGAACAAGGCCAGGGCAGCATTTGCAAGCCTATGGAAATCTGCGTAAATGGCGAGTTGAATTAAAATTGGAGTCTTCAATGCCTGTGTTAAGTCCATCATGCTATATGGCAATGATAAC